GGGGTCGCAAAGCAAAAGAATTCCCTTTCTTTTGAGAACTGAAATATTTTTTGATGTTAATATTGTTTTGGCCTCCGGGTATACGGATTTAGTCTAAGGAATCTATACCTATATCTCTTTGAGTCGCTTTCAATGGACTGGTGCAGATTTCAAAGAGGAAAAAAACTATCCAAGCTTTATCAGTTCCATGGACAAGAGGGATAGACTAAAACTGCAAGCGTGCTTGAGTCAGAAAATTGTTTTTTTACGGAAGAGGCACAAACAAACACTCACAGTATACATTTTAAAAACATTAAAAAAAACACACAAATAATACAAGAAAGAAAATGACTTGTGGCAATTACAACAGCTGTTCTCCCGTTCAGGATCTATTATCGAAAGGAAATGATCGAGATAAGTTAAAAAACACAGGCACGGTATTCAATTTCTATCTCACGGCTCTCTATCAAACACAAGATATTTTTAAGGACGTTCATGGGCAAAAGATCCCTATAGTCAGATTTCTTTTAAATTTTCCACGACGAAGAACATCATACTAGAAGTAAAATCCTATTTCAATTATGCACAAAATATGTAATTTCGATTTGATCCCATTATCAATTTTTTTCCTTTAAAGTTAGGTATTACCGAGTACTTCCAAAAACCAAAATAAAAAAGGTGGGTCCCCGACTTTGTTTTCGAGCTATACAAGATTAAAAACGTTTTTATGATATTTTGCTTGTCAAAACACTATTGGAATGACGTCATCACGATGAGCCCGCCCTCACTAAATTCATGCGTAGAAAGGATGCGCGCGAACAATGCCCATGAACGTCCTCAACATCGAAGTAATTTTAGCCAAGATGGTATAAAAGGGGTAGATTTTTTCTTAGACAGCGTGCGAGAGATCCTGTTCGAAGGCCTGAAAAGTTAATTTCCCTCGAATGCAAATTTTGATTAAAGAACTGTATCATGTACACGGAAATTGGTGTAGTATTATATTGGTAACATAGCAAAAAATTTCAAAATGATTCATTTCCTTTAGAAACACCGAATTATTTAATGAAAGTATTTTTTAAATCAAATTACGAAAAAATTCTCGAGTATGAAGTCGTGAAAAGCTTTGAATTCAAGCTTTCGACGGAAGTAAATCAAGGGCTTTTTTGCTGTATATCGAAACCATGAGATCTTTGTCTGATATAGGAACACTCGAGAATCAATAATCAACATTGGCGTTCCTTTTGTCCGGTGCGTGATTTATGCAAGACTGAATTGAATAGTTGGTTGGGATAAGGGAATGCCGGAGCCGGCGATATTGAATAGCCTTTGGAAATCGGAGCTGTACTACAGTTTAGATATCATGGATGGACAAAAAAATAGCAATTGACTAGTGTCTGTTTGGTCTAAGACATGCAACATCAAATCTTTCCGTTTCGTTTTTAGTGATCAAAACAATAAACGGAAAGAGCACACGTACGCAAATTGATGACGCACGGGAGTAGGGTAAGGCGAAATTTAAACTGCATCCGGGAATTTACATGGCGCACGCGTTATTAAGAAGTTAAGACACACGATACAGCATTGCACGCAACATTGCATGCAACAAATCTGAAGTTGAATCGCGCTCTACTCTTGCAAAATTGCGCGCAAAAAAATTCATCGTGTGAACAGGGCTGCAACAATTTCGAACCAATCAACTTGCAGCAAATATATAACCGCTGATTAAATCTCTTAACATAGCGCGCTGACACAAGCGGTGTTGCAAGATTTTGTTGCAACGCGTGCCACTCTGATTCAAATTTGTTGTGTGCAATGTTGCACCGTGTGTCCGCACCTTTATTTATGCTTTCTTGAATTGTTCTTTTGGCTTTAGATTGTTATGGTTATTTAATGTACGAGTTAAACGTTGGTTAAAAATGGGCGCAATGTCTCACTCGTGATGTTGTTATAAGAACGTGCGAAGTAAATCCAAAACTGTCAAGAAACTAATTGCAATAGCGCAGCGCAATCGTGACGTCATAAAAACGAAGGCAAAGGCGAAATTCGGACAAACAAACTTACAAGTTTACTTTCAGCAGATAATTTTCACAGCCGATCGCAGTTGATCTTAGTTTACATGAATTATTGTTGTAACTTTAAGTAAAAATAATGAAATCGGTTCGTATAATCCTCGAAGCGAATAAACAGAATGCAATGTTTGTTCGAATCTTTAAGCTATTTTTAGAATCAGTGCGCTGCGCCATTGTTGCGGTAAAGTATTTCCTGCCAACGTCATCGCAAAATAAGTCACATGCAAAAAATTATTTCTAATTAATTTTTTGACATTTTATCGTCAATTGCCCAGTTATTCAGTGTCGGGCTAATATACTAGTGCTAAAAGGGTTTCTGCTAAGCTATCTTCCCGGTTGAACGTACCAATAATACAGCAATTTTGGCCAGTATATAATGTTATGACGTTAAACGGTTTCAAAAAATTGAAAATAATTAAATAAAAATTGAAAATAATCAAAAGCAACTAGTGTTAAAAAATAGACATAATGCTTAAATATTGAATGCTAGCTGTACTTGGATCTCACTGGAGAATTCTAGCTATTCTATGGAGCTTTCATTCCGAAGTCCACAATCGAATTGTAACGACTTCTTGTTACATAGCATTGTGGGGCATAATGTGGTGAAGCGATCAAGAAGCTCCGCCACCTCCCGTATTCACTCAATCCCACAATTCTTTGCAACACGATGTCGTTACCAGTCTTCCTTTGGACTTCGGAATGACAAATAAACATAGTTAATAAGTTAAAAAGTAATATGATTTATGAAGCTTGGATAAGCAATTGGCATCAATACTTTTGCACCTCATATTTTAGGTGTGACATAAAAAGATTGCATGAGACATGGTATACACTGTGTCATGCTATAAAAAGAAAACAATTTTGACGATTGGGCTTCACTTAGGGACTTGGGTCTAATGTTGATTAACCAGAGAATCGATAATTTGTGGCAAAAAGTGATGGTAACCCTAAAAATCAGAGTGCATCAAAGGCTATTTATTTTAATGATTTTTTTCATCTTTTTTTTATAATCCCTAATTAGGATTTTATGCAAGAGGTCTCATTAACTATCCCGAGGATGAGGGAAAACTGGTTCTAATTGGCATTACAGTGCATTTTGGGGATATTTTAGCAGACATTTTTAAGATGAGTTCCATTTAGTCCCCAAAATGCACTGCAATGCCAACTAGAACCAGTTTTAACCCTCATCCTTGGAATAGCTAATTAGACACATGTATCATACATGTACATACTGGCTATTTTTATAGATATTTTGCCAGTTGAGTCCCCTGGTTTCCAAAGGTTATGTTTTGCTGCATAGGGTTTGTTAAGAAACCTTGGTTACCATTTGAAAAATCTGAGAAAACAGTCACTTCACATCAAGTGAACCTCAATGAGAGGCAAATGTTTTCTATGGGAAATGCTTCCAGTTGAGTAAAAGTAAAGTAAAAGTAAAAGACATATCTTGAGTCACGGAGTGATCAGGTACATGTACAGCGGTTGTATCAGTCGTGGTGGTTATATTAATAGAGGGTTTCTGCATTATTTGATCTTGGTTTTTTGATCTTTTCCATATTCTTTGTGATGGTGTCATGGAGAATAAGCTAGAAAGATAAAATATAATTACTACATGTAAACCAATAGATCTTATTTGTTTGGATGTAAGATTTTCCGATTTCAGATCTGGCATGGGTCATTCCATTGACAATGTGATTTATCTTCTCAGGCCTGACTAGTAAACAAAGAAATAATACTCAAGAGAGTATTATTTAGCACCACATGGACAAGTTTTTTACACCAAATGATAAAAACTTGACTGCACTTCATTCAAGTGGTGTAAAAGAGTTGTCCATATGCATGTTATAACATTGGCATCACATGGTTGATTTCAAATGCACTTGTGGTTGACATAACAGATGCTACAAAGGTGATAAAAAATCACAACTGCCTCAGTCTACTGGGAAGAGTATTAGGTGTATTACTAAAACCACCAGATGCTATGAAGACGATAAAAAATATCTGGTTATGTTAACTTGCAGTTAATATAACAGATGCTACGAAGGTGATAAAAAATCATAACTTCTTTGGTCTACTTGAAAGAGTATTTCTAAAACCAATGGATCAAAACTTACATAGTGGTTTCTCAGTTCACAGCAGCACAGCCTCAAACTAATAAATTCTTTTTCATCAAGTTCTTGGACTGCATGTCTATAATCCTCCTATAAGTTATGATTAAAAGAGGGAAATAAGACCTGAATACTTAGAAAACTTATTAGTTAATGTATAAAGTACCATCAAGTACTTGGGGGGGATTTGGGGCAGGGAGGTGAACTGTGTGCCAAGATTGGACATAGTACAATTAGTCTAGAATGCAGTCTTTGGAAGCCGAGACTTTAAACTTTCAGTGTATTTAACAACAGGTGTGGAGTTATGGTATAGTAAACGTTTTTAGGATTATCACATTGTCAGGCAAAAAGACCATCTGTGTATAATATTGTATGAGGCTTAACTGAATTCCCCCCATCCCCCCTGTCTATAAGGACTCTGTTCATTCATACATGTACAGTACCATGATTACAGTACAATAATAATATGATAATAATAACCAATTCTTTCCTACAATTAAAACTGGCTAAAATTACAATGAGGAAAATCTATATATATACACACTTATATCATGAGAAATTGAACTACATGTAATAAAATCTTCCCAACTACAGTATTACAAGCTTAAAAAGCCTTGGTAAACTCTGGACACAAGGCAGTAAAACCTATCCAGATGTTAAAAAACTTTTGGTATATATTTTTTTCTGAATAACTAGCCTGTGTCTAGCATGACTAACTCTGGTTAAGACAATCTGAACCAGAGTCAAAGTCAGACTGCAGAAAGGTTATGAATTACCCATATCCTATATTGACCATTGACCTTGAAATTGCTAAAGTCGTGAACGAAACTTTTATTCCCACAAAACCTTTGATTTTAGGAGTTGCGTTTCTATAATTAACAGGAAGAGATAACTAGCTAAAAACTAGTAAGAGCTGCATCAGTGTTTCTAATGAAACAGTAATGATAAAAAGGTAAATTATACACCGTGAAAAGATGTAATTAACAGAAAGGAAATGAATGAATAGAGTGCAAAAGAACAGCTTTTACAAGTTTACTTACAAGCTGTGGATACTTGACAACTTTTGATATGATTTTTCCTCTGGTCACAAAATATCTGTACACCAATGACACAATGTATAAATTAATTAAATATGATAATATCTTAACATCGCTGCAACAAGTACTGTATGGTGCCATGACATGAAGTATTGTTGTTGTTATACAACTTTAGATACATGATTTTTAATAAAAAGTTCTTACCGTGCTATCTGGTCTAAGAAAGAAGCTGCTTCTCCTTCTATTCTCTGTACCTCACTAAGAGCTTCTTCCTACAAACAATGGAATGACGAGTTTTGTTTCTTCAGTTAGTACAGTATATCAGACTATGCATTGTTTTGGACATTTTTCATCCTATAGTATTTCTTTAATTGTTTTTACAACATGACAAATAATTCAAATTTTTGGGTCACCCTTGGTGCCTTGGATTTCTTTAAGGCAAAGATGGAGCCAGAGATGTCTTACTTCCCCTATTTATCCTGGGTCTTGCTTACACAGGGGTAGATTGGCCCCTCTCAAACTGTATTAATTAGAGATTGCGCTGATGAAACTTGTAAAACTATCTGGCTGTAATACACAACTAGCAGCATAATAAATTGTTTACTGTTCTGTACGAAACAAAAAACTGAGAAAGAGTGCAAGAAAAACAACCATGTTCAAAATGGTCAAAATACCCAGGAATCAAGTGTGTCGAAAATAAATCATAATCACAATCCCTTATTAAATGTCAAAATATTATTAAGAATTTAACATACTTGTATAGAGACACCAAAATTGTTTCCATCTTCGATTCTTGGAATCAAAAGCTGGATCCACATCTTGATCTAAAACAGACATATTTATGAAGGGCATGTCAGAAATATCAATACAAAACAATTACATAAGAATATTGATACATCTTTTAAATATGTCCAGCATGACCTTTAAACAGAAACTGCAAAAATATACTTTTAAATTCCAATACTTAATTTTACAGTTTCATTCAGTGACCACGAATAATAGTTTCAAGTTGAGGCTGGAGTTTCTGCACATAGCAAAACTATACTTTTTATCATGCGCGGTTCCTCCAACCTCAGCTTGGAAATATTATTTGTAGTCACTGAAGGAACTGTAAAATAAGGAGTATCAGAATTTACTGACAGAAGAGTCAATCTGTGGAATCCACTGTTAAATCCCCATTGTTTTTATTTTTAATCTAATATATCTGACAATTAACATAAAATTCAAAGAAGTCCAAGCATAATTTACCATGTTGCATTTTTCCATGAGGATTTGAATGTTCGGCTTCAATAATATGACTAAATCCTGAATAAACTGCAAAAAGGAAGGAAAATGCAAATCTAAGTAAAATTATATGCACATGTTTATGCACAAAGGAGAAATTGCATTCATGATATTTATCTTGTCTCCTTACCTGGTTACACGGAACAAGATCAACAGCAACTAAAAAGAAAATAATACTCAAAAATAAGAAAGAGTAACTCTTACCAATGTTTTAATTGCTACGAACTTATCAGGACAACAGTCACGACATGGAAACTCAAAAATAAACACTGCTGTCAATCAGGCATACAGTTTTTTTCTCTGATGTTGACTTAATCAACTATGTACAGTATATTATGTAAAAGTACTGAACAATTTATTTGATTGAAAGCAGCGTATTGTCCTATTTCCCTGTCGCTGTTATCTTGATCAACATGTACACTGTAGCATAAAAGCAGTACTAAAGTATGGTTAATAAATCTACCAGTAAATTTAAATCAAATTTGCAGCGAGAGGCAGTGCATTTAGAAGCGCAGACCACTCATGCTTTCTATTAAATCATTTGCCACGAAAGTGGTGACAGGTTAATCAGGTTAATCAACATTAGAGTACTGAAAATCAATTAAATTGCTATCCTAATGACATAAACACTTTTGATTGCTTGTAGCCTATTGCTGATTATTCCTCAAGACTTGTTTTGATCAGTACACAGCACTGAAAACAATAGTAAGTTGTTGTTAAATTGTTACTAATCTTCTCACCCAGTTCTGCCATTTGTTCAATTTCTTCACCATGGGATAGCTTCCTTTTCTTGTTTGTATGCTGACAACAAAAAGGTTTAAAAATTAAAGCCAAATGTTGCTGGTCATAATAACTATATATGCAATAGACCTTTCCCAAATTCGCTTGAATGACCAAGAAAAAATGGTTTGAAGTTGATACTGAACTTGATTCTTTGAATACCGGTCTCTTCGAACCAGTCTTTTTGACCCAGGTCTTTTCGAACCAGGTCCAGGTCTTTTCGAACCACCCATATACACTTTCGATCCACATACATACACATTCGATCCAATGCAGTTGTGAAATATTTTATAGATGTTTAGTGTTTTCTTTCGGAAATTTTACAGAAATATCACAGAAGAAGTGAATTAATCCAACTGAGTGAACCAAGTATCGTGTGTGATATGTGTTAGTATCGCTTACGAAATCAGTAAGTTAGCCCCCCTAGTCTTTAGCCAAGAAAAAATGTTTTCTCCTTCATTTATATGAATGTCCTAGTGAATAAAGTGAAGGAATATCATGAAGAAGTCCAAAACTTTAGAAGCGAATGATTACTGTTGTGTGACAATCGTGTATGACAATTACACGTAGCGTGTGTGTTGTTACTGTGAATGAAACCGGTAAACCTTCTATTTGGTAACGAGTTATTTATTGATTTTTGGAATCTTCTTCAAAAACGTTTTTATATTCAAGATGCTTTAAAATACCTTTCAAACAAATAAAGTAGGGGAGCAAACATCGCGAATTAGTTAAAAACTTTTAAGTCTGTAAAAGCTGCAAACGAATAGATATTGTGTGACGTGTTACATGTGAAACTTGTCAATGAAACCGGCAAACTATCCGATTTATGTAAGAAATATCAAGGGTGTCAGGACAGATGGATGTGTGATTGTTTCAGTTATTCTGATTGAATTGATATATGTTTGTTTCTAAATGGATACTAAATCAAGACAGGTTAAAGGCGTTTGTTTGAAAAAGTTCGTGACACTGATGTGTCATCATGCCCAGCCAAACTCATAGTACAACGCGCATAGTTTCAATTTCTTTTTTGATCATAATCTTTTATTCTTTTACATTAACTATGTACACAGCATATAGAACGTGTTATATATGCTTTAGTTATATAGGTGGATTGAAAGTGTATATAGGTGGTTCGAAAAGACCTGGACCTGGTTTGAAAAGACCTGTTTCATGAACAGTCATGCAAATTCTGGAAAGGTCTATAAAGGGAAAAGCATAATCAAATGAAGACATTTAGAATAAATTAGATTGCTCAGTTTTCACCAAACATGCTTCCATGTGATCTCCGCTCTATCAGGCACAACGAATTAGCCAATCAGCAAATGTTTCGTTTGTACTTCAAGTATTCCTAATTTCTAATTTGTTAAAATGTAGCAAATAAAATACACCCATTAAAAGATTTACCAAATAACTTTTAGAAGTAGCATATTTTGTTGTCATTGGTGGAAAATATTTAGTTTTATCAGGAGATAATAGAAAACACTTGCAAACTTTTGCTGTGACAAACAGTGCATTGCGCGCCTAGATTTGAAATCTCCTGGTTGCCATATGATGAACTATCTATTTTCCCATCACTAACCTTGTCAACATCATTATATTTGCCATCTTTGGGGTGTGATATTGGAATAATGGACTTACTATGAACTTCAGGAATCTTAGTCATACTGAATTGACCAGACTGGAAAATATAAATATGTGCATTGCACAAAAATTAGTAATCTTCAACATCTTTCACACTTGGAATAGTAACAAGCTAGATGGAAAAGTGTGTAAATTGACTTTAGACATATTTATAAAAAGGAAGCGAGCCAATTAATCAGCTTAAATAACTCCCTGATATTTAGAGCCTTTTTGACAAGCAAAGTCTCCACAACCCACATTATTTTTTGCATTGTGGTAAAAGTTATTCAATAATCCAATTTATTATATAGTTAGGATAGTATGCGCGTGCTGATTGGTTGAAAACTGTGCTTTATTAGTGAATGAAGCACAGTGCTGACGCCATGCGGGTGCACGAAGTTTTTTCTTTTTGCATAAATAAATTCAATACCAAAAAAAAGTAAATATAACGAATAAAACAGCTTTTTCCCTGCTCCGTTCAGTAATAAAGCACTTAGGAAGCACTGTAACCACTCAAGAAGTGTGAAAAGCACTCGCCTACACCTTGTGCTTCTTCTTGCACTTCTTTCGTCACTTCCTGCAAGCTTTATTACTGAATGGAGCATGGAAAAAGCTGTTTTATTATAATTAATGTTAATGGTCCACCAAATTGAACTCTGCTTAGAGGTTCCTGTACAGCTACAGGTGTATTTCAAAAACGGTTGGTGAAGGCTTCGTCGCATGTTGCTTACTAAGCTTAAAACGTATTATACATGTAGTATTATATTTATATGTAAATAATGCCAGCACAGAACTTCTAGAAACTTCATATTGTTGTGACTTTTCACTGATTGAATTCAAATTGCTCATAGTGCCTTTTGGGCTTGGTATACAGCATACAACAAAACCTTCACCAAGATTTTTTTATATAGCTGTAGATATTAGTGGCATGCAACCCTTGCCATGAGAATAAAAGGACAGCCATGTTGGTTGACATGACAACAAAAAACTACACCACAGGACAGTATACAAAAACTGTACCTGTTTATGGTTTGGGATTCCTGTGCTTTTATTAGAAGCAAAGACATCCAAAGACAAATACCTCTATAGGGCACATTCTTGGACATTAACCTTTAAGAATATTATTACATAAGGACTGCTGAAGCTATTACTTATATTGCCTTAATTGAAGGAGGAAGTGGAGATGTCTATGAAGTAAGCTGACGATGACGTAACGACAAATGCAAATTACCTTACGACTCGAAAGAGAAAGTAATTGAATGCCAAACTGAGATTCTTAAAACTGTTATACGGAAATATCTTACCTTAAGGAGGCCGTCCAATTCAGCTACCTTCTCGGGAAAAAATTTCGTAATCACTTCTTCAGCCTAGAAGAAAGAAAAGCACGAATAATTAGGTGCATTGGACATCACGTACAGGACCGGGTGAAGAGGGTCTCACTTCAGAGAGATCGTCATTCAAACGAGGAAAACTTACTTCTTCGCTGAACTTGTTGTGAAACTTCGTCAACTGTTAAAAAGGAATGACGAAAATCTTTAAGTTACATAGATATGAGTTCAGAATGGCTCACGTTGTTAGTAGGAAAATTTTGTGGTTGGTTCTCAAAGCTTGTATAATTTCTAGAATCATTCAGATCGAAGCCTATCTTATTAGGAGAAACGAGATATCGTAAAATAAACTCACTTTATCTCTGGGCATTTTTCTGATATGTCGTTAAAAAGGCTTTATAAATCAAAAAATTAAAAATCCTCTTTTTCTCTTGTGAAGACAGCAGATCTGTTACAAAATGCCGCTAAAAAAAGAACCACGCGTTGATCACGCTGACCCAGTCCTTGAACTGCTCGTGGATTCGTATTCCGAGTGATTTCCGATGTCTCGTCGAATTTTCATGCTTGATCCACAGGAATCCCAAACTGCTACTGATAATTCCTTTCCTTTTCTTTTCTATTTTGAAATGTATATTGAAACAAATACTTAAAACTACTCAAACTACTATTTATAGTCATATCATATTATTAAAACTGATAAAAATAGCGTTTCCTTTAAAAGATTTACATTTATTTCCAGTTCCAACTCCAACCCCAAGGGAGGGAGAGGTGGGTAACTTGGACATTAAGTGTTCTTTATCAAAATCATTTTATCAGCTGGAAAAACGCCTGTGAGGTTCGTTTTTCTACCAATCTTAGTCATGCCATTTCTGAAAACTAAAATAGCACTAAACACTATTTCTTACTCCTATAAAGGTGGAGAGAGTGGGGGGAACCACTGAACCACCCCTAGTGACGGACCTGGGAAAGCCAAATAGGTGTATGATGGTGGTGGTTAGTTGAGAGCTCAGCATTTCAACAGCATTTGGTGTTTAGAAGATTGAAGTTTAATTCTAGCCCAGGGAAAAGAGTGTATTTTTCATTTTATGGACAATCACAACATTTCACATGACAGTACCTATGTAGCTGTTATTTCCATATGAGAGCACACAGTATTTAGGCCCATAGTCAAACATACCCGCCCGAATATTAGTTATGGTTATTTGTTATAGTTATGGTTATTTGAGTAACTCTTTTTTAGAAAAATATTCTTTTGATTTAGGATGTTACTTGAAAAATAATATTTGATTGATTAAAAACTAAGTTACACTCCAACTGAATTCTTTGATAGCATAACCTTATTGTTTAGACATATTTATATTAAATTATAAAGTCATATTACAGCTATTTAACCCACTGAAATATAAATTAAAGACATAAACAGTTTTCTTCCATAATTTAATATAACTAATAGTATAAATGATATATTTATTTTTGCTACATTTTTGGCAAAAAATTCAATTGCTTGCTTCCAATGGTCATCTAGTGTCTAAATTATCTTAGATTTCTTTTCCTAGATTCAACTTTTACTTTGCTTGATAGATTCAACAAATACCTTCTTACAATTAAATCAAAAACAAATGAATACCTGTTTGAAAAATCAAAACATAAATAAAAACACAAGTATGTAACAGGTTAAAATTATAGATACCAAAAAAAAAAATCAAAATATTATCATTTCTTTCGAATAATATAATTCATATTTAATTATAGAACTTCAAATTGTGAAAAAATTCCTTTACATGTAAATAATTTTTGAAAAGTTTCATTCATATTAAGCCAAAAATTATTGCAATATATTTATGTGTGCATGATGCATATACATGTATCAATGCACATACATTGCACAAGTCAATTTTAAATATTATGATTCAATAAAATTCATTTATCTAATATTTTTATTCATTAGAGGTGGAATATGATATCTGGTATTTGGCCCACTGATATTGATGTGCCATTTGGACTTGTGTACTCAAAAAAAGTGAAATTAGTTTCTTCAACTATAACATTTCTTTGGCCATCTGTCCCACTCATTGAGCATGGCCCTTTCATTAGAACATTTATAGTGTAAATGACATTTTTCACCACAGCAATGCTTTCCTCAAATAAAATATCCTGGACAATGTCAGTAGTATTTGCCGAGTAGGAAACTTTATTATGAGAGACAATTTTGTCTTGGATCAGTACCTCAACATAGACCTTATAATCACCATTAGTCTTACTTGGTCCATAAACCCCAATACCTTTCATATAAATGCTCTGATCTGTCATGAACTTAATGCCATCATTTTTTCTGGTATCACAAAACCAGTCACTACCACAACAGCTTTTAAACCGTGAACATCTGTAAGACTTTTGGAGTTGCAAGGGCTTTGGCACACGAGGAATAATCTCAAATGGGACTTTGGTTTCAAGGCTAGATATAAAAAACAGGAATATACTTGTAACTTCCTCGTAAGAGAGTAGTCCAGTTCTGGCAACTTCATCAGCAAACTCAACAGGAGACATCACTGGAAAACGAATAAATTTTAAAGCTTTTGAAGCAATGTTTCTTAAATTTTCAGGAGTTTGGTCCAAGTTTTTTCGAGTACATTCTACGTTTGCCCATCGCTTGACAGCGTGAAATAGAGAAACTTCTCTGGTAGTGAGAGAGCTTCTTTGGACAAGCATTACCAGTGTATTGAGATCTAGCTCAGTAAACTGTTCCGATTCCAATACTTTAGACGTGTGTAAGTCAATAACATGCCAACACTCGTCTTCTAGGAGTTTCTCGTTTAGAAAAAGCGCATGACTAAGCACTGTCAGAACATTATCAGGGTTCAAATTTTTCTTGACAAAAGCTATGCACTTGTCACCTAGAACAGGTAAGAGGTACTTCTTGGCCAAGTACAACACTCCAAGCACATTATCAAGCGTAAGAAACACCTTATCTGTATAAATAAAACGTAGGAGTTCAACAAAAGCATCAAGATCGGCATCTGTGACGACAATTTCACCGTCTTTTTCAGCCAGTTTTCCATAGAACATTGCAAGAAAGACAGGGCTACTGATAGCTAATACGTATTTATGTCCAGGTATTCGCTCTTTTTCGTTACCAACCAAGAAGTGCACATCACTGAGTAGCTCATTTTTAAACATCTTTTCATTTCTTTCGCGAACAGTAGAGGCTTTGAGCTGCCATTTATCGGAACTCATAGTCAACCCCTCCACTGCAGCCATCTTTGTTGACATTTTTGAATGAATGAAAATGACGTCGAACTGGTTTATGGGTAATTTTAAAGATCCGCGCACAGGCAACCCAATAACTGATTTTATAGTTACCCATTATTTTAAAATTGCCAACTATAATACCTAGATTTCTATGAGCCCTTAATCTTGTAAGTGTCATACTTTGAACTAGAATTTAACCCTATTTTTACGCAGAGAGAAATAAATCACTTGCTTTACATGGGTCTTAAGTTTTGTTTGAAATAATGTATATGGTCTTTGGTATGAAGCCAAACTTTACTCTGACTACACCCCATCTTAATGTATGAAGTGAAAATTCCCTTACAAATGCTGAATGTAAAAATATATATATCAAATATCAATTTATAAAAATGTATGAATATATCAAATCCCCAATAAAGATATATCAAATAAAGCTCAATTATTATCAGTTTCAATCTATCATCTTGTTTGATCTTTGATTCAAACATTGAATTTCCCAAACTAGCTCAGTCTTCAGCTTACCCAGTGAACTAAGAATGGAATACAAATATTACTTCAAAGCGTGTATGATGCAGGATTTGGTGGTGGTTGTGGTGGGAGGGGGAGCGGACATTATTTCTAACAGATCTGGAGGGTGGGGCTTAGGGGNTGGGGGTGGCGGGTGGCGGGTTTTACCTAATGTTTTGCCACATGGAGCTTAATATTCAAATCCCTCTAGATAATTAATGCGCAGTCCTTTACTTGCGCGTGTAAAAAGTAAAATAACTAAGAATAATTATAAAGTAAAGTGATAAAATAAAATAAGCCGAGACCATAAAACTGAAAAGAGTAATTCTCAACGAGAGCTTCGAAGATTTGAAAAATTTTGAATATTGCGCTCAGAAAAAGCATGGCTACTTTCTTAGCGAGCGAATGCATCTATGTATACAGGAGCCCTAGCTAGGTTTCCGTACCGATTGCGCAAAACTGATTTTTCCAATCAACTTTTAAAGAACTAGTTTAAACCTACAGTAAAGTAAGTTGAAAATATTTACATTACCGATCTTTTCAGTAGCTGGAATTGTAATTAAGAGCTCATTTTCGAAAAACCGTTTTACGTTGGAGATTTCATTTGTTTGTACAATGTTTGTCCTCCTCTTCGCCAAACAAGGAAATATACGTGGCTAATGACTGAGATAACACCGCCACTTCCTTCTATGATTCTCTGCTATTATACCTCACAGACAAAGATACTGTAGAAAAGACTTACTGAATCCTACTCGAAAGTCAATTAGCTCGCTATAGTAGTATCTTTACACCTGTTACGTAAGCTGTTGGTCAGTCAACTGCGTACAATTCAGATGATCAGAAAAAAATGTGTTAGCTAGTGAACTTGATGCTCAATGCTATGAATTGCGAAGGATTTTCAGAGTCTTTTAGAAATAATGATGTTTGTAATTATAATGGAGATGATAAAATTTGTGTTCAAATTTCGGCCCATATATGTAGAAACACAGCAAAAAAACTTTCTTCCATTTTATAACTTCCTCGTGGGATGGAGTTAATAACAATCAATCAAAATTAATAGTCTTCAGATTGAAATAAACTTTCACCGATATTTCGACCAAAGATCGGTTGCGGTGAACGAAACCCCTTGAAATTTTACAATATTTTTTTCTCAAAAAATTCACATTATTCTCAAAATTCTTCAAGAAATGACAAAAAGCTGAAGAAATAACGTAACACATCTTAAAATGCTTCTGCGTGTTTTGCCCATTATAAAGCGTATATATATATTCTAATTGAAATCGAATAAAAGTTCATTAAAGTGAACTTTTGTGCTATTGAAACTGACGCGTCTATATTTTGAATATGTTTGATGTAGGTGCGCTAAACGCGAGGCGATGTTCAACCGAGGGCGTCTTATTGGCATCCTCGACTAATCGATGTGTATCCGGAATCAAGTTCGCCACCTCCACTTTGCTTTTAGTTTCAAATACAAGATTTGATGATGAAGATAATTAATCAGCTATAAAACACCAGGTTGAGAAAAATGAAGCCATGATTAAGATATAGTTATATACGGTGCGCAAAACGAGAAGAACGCCAGAGAAGTCGACAGAGGAAGAATGCATTGTATGGTAGGTTTTGATGGGCGTTGTTATATATTAGTCCAAACTAAACCCGTTTGATATTGCCATATCGTTAGAAATATACACACTCGATATGATGTGAAGCATTTTCAAGAGAGAATAACTTTCCCG